ACATATGTTTCATATGTTTGTTGTTGTTTGATTTATCATCTACGGGTTTATGTCGAATTAATTTGATGGCCTGCTCCCAGTTGGCTTGTTAGCTCAATTGGTAGAGCGCTGCACTAGTATCGCAGAGGTCAGTGGTTCGAATCCCGTACAGGCCTGAAATTTTTTTCAGGTCTGATTTTCACTATTGCTCAAATAGTGCTTTACTGCGAAGGATCGTGCATATATACGTTTCATAGCCGCAGTTCATACATATGTTTCATATGTTTGTTGTTGTTTGATAACTCACAGTGTATCCAGCCGCGGAGCCAGGTGGGAAGTATCGCCAAGTAATTAGAATGGCCTTTTTTAACGGGTAAGATGGCACTTCACGAGTCAGACAAAACTCAGTAGAGAGAAGAAAACCAAACTATCAATAAACACTTTACTTACGATGAGTCATTTCAGTATCTTGGCGCCCGCTTATCTTGGTAACAATCCTAAAACAAAAATAGGCACATTAGTTTCTTTGCTAAGGTCACGATGTTAGTTTGACCAAAGGCCAGTGAAAAGTGAAGAAGTAGCTCTTCTAAATAAAGAGGATAAAACTCCGAATAGATCCATCTGTGGGGATATAACTCTTCTGGCGCTAGAATGGCTGCGACAGCGACTCTCTAATTAGAATATTAATCGCATATAGAACACCGGAGTTACCGTAGCAAAAGGGTAAATAAACTATTTTCGTTAGATATTTTCGAAAATCCTTTGCTACAACTGTTCTAAATTTTTAAGATGATAAAGAAACCGTTTTAAAAGGACGTTGGGAGGAGAAAAATTGCGCGGAAAGTGTTCTTAAACTAATGTCGATCATGCGATGCCTGCGGAGGTCTTTCGTGATTTCTCAATAGCTGTTCATACAGCTGCGTGAATCTTTCTGAAAGTGCAGTGAAAATCATTGCCGTGGAACACCTATTCTGTGCCCCAGGAACGACGAAATCACCTTCTTTCATACGAGTGCCGTTACCCCTATCTAGCATAAAACAAAACCCGTCACGGTACGAATCATAATCGAGCGACAATTGGAGTGACGGAGCCATCCTCAATTTCAGTGTGCTAACCTTTTACTTCTGCTTCTGTGTCTCTTGATACCATATGAGGCAACAACGACTATCAGTACGGAGACCACGCATACACATATTGTTGTTATTATCCATGTCTCCTGATCGGGCCTCTGATTTGACGCAATCGTGATTTTTAACGTGGACTCATCAGGCGACGCCAACAAAGCGCCGCCCGAAGGATTTTCCAGTTGAACCCAGACGACCCCCTCTGGTGCTTGCCTTCTGTCATTATCTACAGTGAGTATAAAAGAATCGTTCCATTGGCCGTTCTTCATGGACACCTCCCCAGATCTCGGCCATATTAGGTCGAGGCTGTTGGAAGAATCATTTTGATACAGCGACCACTATACAGTGATGTCACCCAGGGAACCTTTGGATCTTCGTACAAGGATCTCCAAGGTGGTGACTTTCATCGTGCGAGAAACGTGAATGCCTCCATCTAAACTGTAACCTATCAAAACGAAATCATGAAGTATCAAGAAAATGGCAAAGCGTTACCAATACTATTTCGATGCCATTCATTTCATGGAATAGTGTATCGCCTGTGATTTTAGACCATTAACGCATTAACTACATTTAGGTCACGTAACTATGACATCATTATTGGGGCCAATTTTTCTATTCTTCTGTATAGGAAGTTG